TTTCCCCCCCCCCCCCCCCTCCCAAGAAAAACTAACAAAATTGCGGAAAAACTTACATAGGTACTCAAAGAGTAATAAATAATATAATATACGCAAGAGAGGTACTATTGTACGAAGTATATTTTGTGGAAAAAACTCCGTAAAAACCAGGTGCCTTTTTACATTTAAACTCTTTGTTTATGAATTTTTTTCGTAAAATCACATATTCTCCTGGTATGAGGAAAGAATATATTACTTGGTCATGTTCTCTATGCGTTTATCCGATGTGTGATTTAATGAAATTGTCTAAAACTTTGCAATGTACCTACAGTGGCTAACACACACCAGGAAAAAAAAAAAAAGAAAAAAAAAAAAAAAAAAAAAAAAAAAAAAAACATAATGGGTTCTGATTATATTCAGGAATTTTTGACCAGTTTCTTGCTAACATTCTCAAACTGTTTGTACATTACATGGTTTCAGGACATTCCGTAAACGATTTTCGTCCGCGCACCTGGTTTGTCCAGTAGCTCACGTCCAAGCGTAAAACAAGCAACAGTGACTTGGTCCAAGCGTTATATTTTAGTCCGTACGTAAAATTATAATGAAAATATCGAAATTAGAAAATTGAGAGAGAATGAGATCTTGTTATGGTAAGTAACTCATTTTTAAAAAGAAATGTTACTTTTTTCTTCTTTTCTTTTGATTCATCTTTTCGATTTGTCATTGGTGAATATTTAATTTTATTTCCATCCTTAAAATTTTCGATCTAAAATATACTTTAAATATCGACGGTGAAACTACCAAACCACGTATCTCGGTTTGCGACGTCGCAGACTTCCTGTCATACTTTATTTTTTAAATGAAAAACTATTTAAAGTCCAGTCTTGAAAATTTCTGTGATTTTTCCTCTTCGCGCGGAGAAAATTCTGTGAAAATTTCAAGGAATGATATTGATTTGGTCTACTTCCAAAAAATAAAATGTGAGCGTAGATTTTTAAACACCGCAAACGAGATACGTGGTTTGGTAGTTTCACCGTCGACATACTTTTTTTCTTTTTCTTCTGTTTTAAATGAAAATATTACTTCAGTTTAAAAACATTTACATTTTCAAACCGCGGCAAATATTTGTAATAGGTACCTTTTCCAGGCGATGGCATCGATATTAATCTCAATGAGCCGTAGTTGTGTTGAAAGAAACAATACAAAAATGAATAAAAGCGAGGGAAGACCAAGAAGCACCCAATCTTTAGTTTTAACCCATTTGTACATTGATCTTTTAGAGTCAAATACTTACGTCCAATTTTGAGCGTTTGGTTCCGCGCGCACACCACGCTGCAGCACAGTAAAAAACATAAAGGGAAAAATTAAAGTGCTTTGGCGATCATTGAATTTGACACAGAACCACCTTAATATTTGCAAAACAGACAAAAGATTTTCCTTTTATTTATTATTATTAAGCGTATATACATATTTTTTTCATCAATTTACACGATAATTGAATAACGCTGGCTCCGCGAGTTCAAATATTAGTGCCGAACACAGAGCAGAGCGGCGCGGCGTGCTGCCAGAGCGAAGCGCTAAACGCGCACTGGCGCCTACAAACCTAACAGGGATACTTCACGCATTGCGCAATGCGTGAAGTATCCCCCTCACCCGCCGCGGCGCGTCCTGGCGTGCCACGGCGCTTCAAGCGACTACTTCGCAACAGAGGTGTTGCTCAGTATCATACGAAATTGAAGGCATTTAATAAAATACATATATTTAATTGCCAATTGAATTGGGAAGCAGGTTAAAAGCAAAATTTAGAAAAATGGGAGCTACGCATTTAGGAAAAAGGAACCAGCGCGCAACGCCGCGAACCGAGGTACACATTTGTGCAGTTTCACCATCGATATCAGTTGTGTGTCCCGTTTTAAAATCGACGGTGAAATTAACTACCAGACCATGTACCTCGGTTTGCGACGTTGCAGATTTCCTGTCTTACTTTATTTTTTCAATGGGAAAAAATCCTCAATGTCAATTTTCGAAAACTTCCGCGGTTTTTCTTCACTGTGCGAAGAAAACTCTGTGAAAACTTCAAGGAATGATACTGATTTTCTTTCATTCAAAAAAATAAAGAGCGGAGATGTTTAAACCCTGCAAACGAGATATGTGGTCCAGTAGTTTCACCGTCGAAATATGGGCCTGCGGGCTGATTGTTGAAATTGATAGACAAAGCTATAGACAAAGAAGACAAAAGGGAGTAATATTGATTGAGAAACACCACGTTTATTCTCTGAAAACTTCATGTCACACACAACAAACACATTTTCAAGTTAGAAATTCGGAGAAGAGGGCGGCACTTTACTTGAAAGCAGTTTTCATTGGCACTCTGGAGGAATATTGTCTCTTACTGCTGTCTTACCTGAAACTACGTCATTTTTTGCGCACTTACAGCTTTCTCATATGTCTCGTTTTAATATAATTAAGATGAATTTCTCTATTTTAGTAATTTCAGTGATTTCATGTACGCATCTAAAATAGTTCAGACGAATTATTTGGAAAGAAACTCGATTTCCGAAATGTAACACTTACTGCTCTATTCGCTCTGCTCTCCTAATAATGGCAGAATGGGTCGCTAAACCATGAACGAACGGACCACTAGACAAGGTACGAATTTAAGCATTCTATACATGTTTCTTAACCAGAATTTCACGCAGAACACTATTCGCGCGACGAAAATGACTGAAACCAACTCCTAAGGAAGATATTAACGATTTTATTTCACATTGGTTACAAGGAATTTGAACTGCCCGCTCACAAGAAACTCAAAGCTCCACGTACGTGAGTCAAACCGCGCATTACAACGGTTTCAGCAATCTTCTCAATCGAACAATGTCCATTTCCCACCATGTGTTTTTCAAACTATATAAACAATTAGCTATAGCTGAGCCAAAAGCGTCAAAATTAAGGTTGCCAGATTTTTATATCGCAGAGACTGTCATGATAAACATTTAGCGCGCGATATGAATCACGTAGAGTATTGAGTTTTCATGAGCGGGTGGTTTGAATTCACGCATCAAGACTCATTAAATATCTTCGCAAGGAGTTAATTTCGGTGATTTGTGTTGTGCGCATCGTGTTCTACGTGAAATTTTAGTTACGAAACATGTATCAGAATGCTAAAATTCGTACCTTGTCTAGTGTGGTCCATTTTCGGCTCCAACACCACGTTTATTCTCTAAAAACTTCATGTCTTGTGCTCTGCTCCCTTCGGCGACACGTCAGCTCTCACGACAAAAATCGAATGCCGGAAACAATAATGGAGGCGCATGGTTGAGAGATCAGCGGCACATGACCGGGCGCAGAAACCGAAAGGGATGAGTGGCATTCTTTGGAGTTCGTTCAAAGTCAAGATCAAGTGACGAATACCCGCATGACCGTTGCAACGTTGTCATTAAAAAATACGATCTATCGCTGTTTTTGAAGGCGTTTTTAGCAAGGCCGGCTACCCTGGGGGACTCGTCGTTTGCTTATTAGCGCCTGGGCAGGGTGTAAGACGAATCATTTTCTGACGCGAAGTGCGGGTGTGTGCTCATCACTTACGGCGTTTTCCGGTTCGCGGTCAGTTTCCGGTCGTTAGGACCCGCGATTTCGGATTCGGTCCTCCCGTGCGCCACCTAGCGGAATCTCCGATATCTCACTCAAAATATTTGTTCCTGCTTTTGGAATTTTTGAGCTTTTTCTCATTTGTTGATTTCGGTAAGCGATCATCCCCTTACTTTTACTAAATATGTGGCTTTCATGCACCAAAAAAAAAATAAATAAATAAAAAAAAAATTTTAATTTTTTTTAAAAAAATTAAAAAACTTAAAAGAAACCTTGGGGATTTTTTGTGAAAATTTTAAGAGGGTAAAAACTTTAGAAACAATTACCCATTTTTTTGAATTTACTCACAGAGGAGAGAGAATTTTGACTATCCGAAGCACCCTTAGTCCCGACCACCGCGGATAAGCGAATTTGTCAGTCCGGATTTTCCGCAATTTAAGATTATACGAGGTCATCCTAGCCTCGACCACCGCGGATAATTATTTTTGTAAGTCCGGATTATCCGCGAATTTTGACTATCCGAAGCACCCTCAGTCCCGACCACCGCGGATAAGCGAATTTGTCAGTCCGGATTTTTCGCATTTTAAGATTGTACGAGGTCATCCTCGTCTCGACCACCGCGGATAATTATTTTTGTAAGTCCGGATTATCCGCGAATTTTGACTATTCGAAGCACCCTCAGTCCCGACCACCGCGGATAAGCGAATTTGTCAGTCCGGATTTTTCGCATTTTAAAATTGTACGAGGTCATCTTCGTCTCGACCACCGCGGATAATCGAATTTGTTAGTCCGGATTTTCCGCAATTTAAGATTATACGAGGTCATCCTAGCCTCGACCACCGCGGATAATTATTTTTGTAAGTCCGGATTATCCGCGAATTTTGACTATCCGAAGCACCCTCAGTCCTGACCACCGCGGATAAGCGAATTTGTCAGTCCGGATTTTTCGCATTTTAAGATTGTACGAGGTCATCCTCGTCTCGACTACCGCGGATAATCGAATTTGTTAGTCCGGATTTTCCGCAATTTAAGATTATACGAGGTCATCCTAGTCTCGACCACCGCGGATAATCGAATTTGTCAGTCCGGATTTTCCGCGATTGCTGACTTTATCAATTGTCTCCGGTCTCAACGACTGCGCATAATTATTTTTGTAAGTCCGGATTATCCGCGAATTTTGACTATCCGAAGTGAGTCCATATTGAATATCACAGTTTTCTCTTTGTAAGCACGAAAAATACTCGATTTTCAAGATTTTGAGGAAAAGCCCCTCTCACTGGATTAGATAATTTTTTTTATCTAGAAAAAACAATTGAATAGTTTTCGGTTGGATTGCATTTTGCAAAAAGGAACTGCCATGTTGCTAAGATTGCGCAACTCCACCCTTAGCAATAAAACTATCGTAATCCTGCAAATATATGGAATTCACATGGTAATTTTTGTCTCCAATTAACAGTTTTTAGCGTGTAAAATGGACGATTTTTATAAATGATCAGGTTTTCTCCCACGATGAAAGAAGTTGCACAATTTCAGAAAAATTGCAATGCTCTTGGTTCCCTTTTGCAAAATTAAATCTAGTTGATATAAACGATGATTTAGTTTCAAAATTTTGTGAATCGCGACTACCTTCTCTGTTCCGATTTACTTTTATTTTTTAAAAAGAAAAGTAAAGTTCTACCAGTACATAGCATGTCCGCTCGACAGAACCCATGCATGCAAGAAGCCAAAACCCTTGCAAACTGGAACCGCGCGATACGCATACGTGCAAACGCCCACTATAAGCAACATACATATTATAAGGTGCGTAAATTACCGAGCGCCTTCAATCCGTAGGTACGCAACAAAGATAGCCGCAGAGCACGAATAGTTGCATCAAAGCAGTGGCGAGGCGTGAATGATCGATTTTCGATATTGCCACATTTGATGCTATGGTAAAGGATCGATTACTACGGTGTTAGTTGCGAACACCCTGTCTATCGATCCTTTATTTCCACAGATTTAAATGGAAGATCAATCGATGTATTGCAAAGCACGCTACGCCATTGCAGCAAAGCGTTGATCTGGACATCGCGTCGCACGTCGGGCCTCTTGTTGTCTCAGAAGCGAAGTGGTCGCGACTCATCTTTTGTCGGCCAGCGGGCTGATTATTGAAATAGATTTTTTTTTGGGGGGGGGGGGG